AACGAACATATTGCTCAACATTTCTCTCTCTATTTCAGCTTTTCATTGGACTGTTTGTTCCATTCCATTCCTGATTCTTCGAATCTCGATATTGGCTGTTCAGTTGCCGCAGTATAATTTCCTCAAGGCTTTTTGTCTTCTCAATTTCGTGTGTAACTGACAAGGTTGATTGACTGATTAGTAGAGAACATAACAGTCAGAATGTTCACCAGGACCTCGCCACCTTTTTTGAAGGGCGCGGAGTGTAGACCATCCGCGCTAGGTGCCTTGTCACGCTTTTTTTACCAGCGGTTGTGTTGAAGGGGACTAGGTGAGCTGTTCGTGGAAGTGATCAGCCCACCGCTCAAGACGGTGATTAAGGGAGTGAACTGCTGTTCTATCCTTTTCGCATATTGTCTCGCCTGATTTATTTTGACCCGTTGATCGAATCAGTTGAAACAGTGCGTGGCTGTTGCCTGCAGCGAAAGCCTTCTCCATCTTTTGGGCCTTCGAAATCCACCAACGTTCTCTGCCATTCTAGCCAGATCAAATCGATACTCTTCGGCTACCGACACTTGTCAAAGTTGATGAACTGCTCTCTTTCGGCACGCTGAAGGAAAGCGAATTGCTAAGCGGCCCCGCACAATGGCGTGATCAGAGTCAGATTCCGTACCCCGGAAGGAACGACAATCCTGGTTCTCCACCGGTAACCTATAGCCATATGGTCCAACTGGGTCCACGAGTGTCCTGTGGTAGGTGGCCTCCAAGTAACTCGGTGTGTGCGCTTGTGTTGGAAGTTCGTACTGGCCAGGAACAGACGAGGAACTGCACACAGCTGAAGAAGCCACTCCTCATTATCTGTACGCTCAGCATCGAATCCAAATCCATCACCTAACTGTGCTTCTTCCGGAATAGTCGTCCAGCTTGGGCATTGACAGCACCTGCCAGGATTGCTATATCCGTCTTTTTTGCCGACCGAAGCAGTCGTGACAGATAAGAGTCATTCATCTCGGTCCGCTATCTGCTGGGGCGTACGCTGATACGACAAACAAAC